GAAGCATTCATGTTTCTAATTTAAATAAAAAACATACATTGAGGAAAAAAAGAAAGAAACATGTGAAAATAAAAAGATTAAATCTTTTTGCTTTATTTTAACTGGTTGTGTCACAATATCAAGTAAAACATCAAGATGAAAATGATGTTTGTTGTGTAATCAATCCATAAAAACAAGTTACTTGCCATGTAAAGCACAGCAGGGTTTGTGGAATAATCTTCATTTTATTTTAACATTCTAAGTTTTCAAACTACTCTCAGAGAATGAAAAACACAAATTTTGTTTAAGAAAAAAACCAACCATATGAGTTTTTAAACACGTTTTATGTATAATCGTTATGGATGATACAGTTTACAGGAAAGGAAACAATTCCACCTTCAGTGGTAAGTTTCTATCTAAACAAGCAAGTATACCTCAGTACTTACTTCGCCAGTCATCTGTGGTTTCTGTATAAATTGTTAATATGGAGATTAAAAAAGGGCAATTACATAATATAAACATTGCCTTGCATGTAGTGTGATTAATACCTCTATTCTTAATATTAACTCCTTAAGCATAAACTTTAAATCATCAACTATCAAAAAAACAACAAGAAAAGATAAAACCAAGCAAACAGATTTCTTAACAGGGAAATGAATAACAAAGAGAGGAGCTTAAAAGCAGATTAAAACAATAGAGTTTAAGTTGTCTAGATCATGATATGAGTTGCAGTTGAATTTTACATTGATACGGAAGACATACTATGTTTTCTTAATAAATGTCCATTTGTTGAGGCATGGTAAAAATGCCTTTACTTGCTACACAAAGGGGAAAATATAGAAGGAAATCCAAGCCTACATCATGTTTTTGGCTCGTCTGTGCTTGATTCTGAACACCCTCGGTCAACTTCACTTCTACATCTACAGCAAGCCAGGCAGATGTCACAGATCTGCCCATGCTCATCTGAAAGTCCCACAAGAGCTGTCAGAAATTACAGGGACCCTTAAATTAGACTCAGGCACTCCAAAATCATTAGTCCTGGTTAATTCTGGCCCCTGTGTTCTGTAGACTTGACTATTAAATTATTAGTTAAGGTGATAACTCTATGATGCAATCTTCATTCTAAAATTAACTTTTAAATATTGACTATTGGGGGATTAGAAACAGAGCTCATTTTAGCCATAGACAGTGTTTCGAATACTCTATCTTAAATTTCAGGTAGCAAACAGAACAAATGCACATGTAAGCAGAGTAGTATTTTTGATGCCCTTGTGTTTTAAAATAAATGAGATGATTACATATTTGAAATATGGTTTTCATAAAAATACACTGTATTTTAAAAATGATGTTTTTCCGTTTCAAAAATAAGACCCAAGAAAACAGTACATACACACTTTATGTGTCTGCAAGAACTAGTGATAAAAGAAATTGCCTCACATTTACTCTTCTATTTACTGACTTCGCTTCATAATCTTTTGAAGAGTGAATATAGCTGATAGCTCAGAGCTATGTACCTAGTGTAATATGATGGTACTGTGTAATATTAGAGTAGTAATGTTATCATTATGTTTGAAAATGACACTTTTAGGAGTTTCCTCTAGTAAAAATATACACCCTGGACAATAAAATAAATTTATATTATGTCAATAAAAAGGGAAATAAATGTGAAGTGTAAAAAAGTTAGGAAGTAATCAACAGGTTATTTACCAGAATAGAAAAGATTACTTTTTCAGAAAATCACAAAACAGCAAAGCATTGTCATTTTGATTAAATACAACAGCTATTCATTGCTCTGAACTTTCAGTTTGGAAAATAGTTGTGATTTACGTCATATAGTTGCTTCCAAAAGTAACATTAGGATATATTGTAGTCTAGAAGCTGATAGGAACTCCAGGTAACCAATGATGATGTCTACAGATGTTTAGTCTACAGTTCTATTGAGTTAACAGGAGACATTTTCATACTTAGAGTCATAGACCACCTGATCATCAGCTATAACATGAATTATATTTTTAACTCACTAAAAACCAGGTTAAATAATTTGTCTTACTTGTGACCTCTTGAGCAGTGTGTCTCAAACAATTATGTCCTTGACACAAAAAGTAATCTCATAGCTGGACCCCTGTCTTGATATACATACACTCGAACACAAACACATACATACACACTCAAACACACACCCAAATATACTGTCACACAAATACACAACTAATTATGCTTTTAAGCACTGCTTACCTTTATGGTAAGTAAACTATGTCAATATTTCTCTGATGATCCCATTTCATTTCCATGTATGGAAAAAACAACATCTCTTTGAAAAATAGTTACAAATTTGAAAACTCACCACAAGGGATACTGGTGCGTTAGAAAAAATGGTTAAATATTTATGAAATACAGTATTTATTGAGTACATAACAGCCATTAATGTGAAATGTGAGCAAATTGTCAGTAAGATTCCTGACAACAGATATAATTTAATGAAATGTAACAACACAGTACTCGATTAAATGCGTGTTTCCCCTAGATATTACCAAAAGTCAAACCTACCAAAAATATTGCGATGTTTCACTTATTCCAACTTACAACTAGTTTGAGTTAACCAGTGCAGTTATTTGTCTGCATTTTCTCTAGTCACATTTCTAGCATGAGTATCTTAGCTTTGAAATAAAATTTATTCTCATTGGTTTTTAAATGTATTTATATGAAGTACTAAGCTTTTAGTTTATTCACCTTGGTCCTCAACATGGCAACTCATGGAATATACATCTCTCCAGTCACATCCTCTTCACAATGTAATCACAGTCTTTTAAAAGCCCTTCTAAATTTAAATTTTCTCATTTAAAAACCAGAATAATAATGAGAATGTAACAGAACAGAAGCAAGTAATGCCATGTAATGACTAGCAAGTAGTTGACATTACTAGCAAGTAATGGCAGCAAGCCTTGTTATTTTATAATTTCACATGAACTTCCATAAGCATTGCATATCACCAGAAAACTTTCAAGTAATGAACACCAGATGTATTTAAATGTTATTCCCAGTCCCTAAATCTAGTTCTCATTGAGTTTTTCATTACAAAACAAACAAATAAGCAAACAAAGCAAAACAACAACCCTAACTACAGTAAGTCCTCATAATTGCTTACTTTACTACCTTAAGGACTAGAAACTTGTAAAGACTTGTCTCTGAAACCTGTGTTCCAACAAATATACTTTAAAGAGGTGTTCATGAAAGAGGTGCTCATTACACTGTTACTTATAACTTGGAAGTATAACACATAGGAATATACATTGTTTATTTATTATAATTGTGTGTAGACATACAATGCCTCCTTTTGTGGAGGTGGTACTCACCTTCCTTTGTTAAACTTTTTTAATGTGCACTGGTTTTATTGCCTGCATGTATAAAGGTGTTAGGTACCATGGAACTGAAATTACAGACAGTAGTTATAAGCTTCCATGTGGGTGCTTGGAATTGAACCCAGGTGGTCTGGAAGAACAGCCAGAGCTCTTAACCGATGAGCCATCTCTCCAGTCCCAGAAACATATATGTTATCTAAGTCCCAGAATGGGGCAAGGAAGACAGCTCATAACAATTGTTTTCTCTCTTACCAGAGTAAGGCTGTAGTCAGGCATCTGATATTGGGAAAGGCTTTGGCTGCTGTTACAAACAAAGTGAGTTATAACGTTAATGTTGATAAGTTTCTTAAAACAGATGAAAGTCAGATTTAGTATATTTGAGCTGAAGCCTTATTTGATTTCCTTGGCGTGTTGTTTTGGAAAACACTGGATTTTCAGACATACCAGGAATTCACAGAATGTGCCTGGCTGGTTTTCTGTGCCAGGACAGCTAGAAAAGCCAAAAGAGAGAGAAAGAGTTCCTACAGGATTCTGTTAGCTGCTAGCAGGTCATCAGTTTCATCCTTCAAGTAAGATTGGCTGAAGGTCAAACTAAAATTTTAGCATACCAATTTTCAGTCCTTAAGAAAACATATTACACATTTTTATATTTGTAAAACAGTTTTTCAACTAGTTTTCCTATTATCCCGAAATTTATTTACTTAATTTTACATGACTCGTTTACAAATGTGTTTTTAAATTTTTTTATATATATGACTTATTAATTGTGTATAAATATATAGTAATATTCTAACATTGGCTCATCTCCCTACCTACGAGTTCTGCCTTTCTCTTGCCCCTTTTCTAGTTTAAGAGACAGAGCATTGGGTAAAAGAAGCAAACAGATTAGACTACATTTCCTTGACATTCCACACAATATCATCTCAAGGTCTCTTAATGCCAATACAAACATAGTAAACATTACTGGTATAATACTTTCAAGACCAAACTTTTTCACCTTAACTAACCATTATCGTTAAATATAGAGAAATGACAAAGCTGAATATAAAGGATAGTCCTGCTGTTAAAACACAAGCTGGCTGAGAACATAGGCATGTACCATTGTGGTATATGCATCTATCATCCTCACTCAGAAAAAACTGATGTTAAATAAATGTCACATTTAAATTTTGCTTATTCTTTGGGTTGACAGATTCTAGTCCCATATGTTTTTTCCATTTTCATTATTGCATATCAGGAGGAACTGTTCTAATACTTAAAATTGATATCTCATTCTTTTTGCATTCAGAAAAAGTTCACTAGCTTATGTTAGAATAGATAATTTACCAAAGAATTAACATTATGCATCTAACTTTCTCTTTCTTCCCTGGCTTCTCTTCTTTTCAAGATAACTAGTGGAAACTGATCTCAATATGTGTTCGCCTATGTGTGGATATTTCAGCAAAGTCAAAAAAGACTTTCAGATTCCAGAAACCATGGAAATCCAAATGGACTATGTATCAAATATTAAGACCCTGGTTGTCAGCCGACAGTATTAGTATACGGTCTTTTTAACAAGGCTAGAACAGACTTTCATGGGTGTCATCGATATCAGCAAGCATATAAACATACACACGAACACTCATTTTTGGTCTTAGCTATGACATTTCTCCTCTCTTTCAGATATGCTTAAGGACTTTGCAGCAATTCTTGGTATTGGACAGATCATCTCAGCTGTTGACTTCCCAGTCCACTGTTTACCAGATTTGACTCATTTGTGACCACTTCAAGACTCTCCCATGATTTGCAATGGTTACATGAATGTTTGGGAAGGAAAATTTGCAACACCTTTCTATATGTTCTCCATGGCACCTTAGGGAAAGAAACCAGAAAAGGCTCACAAAGCACTGATCTTTAAAATGAATCTTATTGTGAGGTTTCGGAGAAGCTTTCGAACACTTATTGTTCTCTTAGCTACTTTTTGCTTGGTGAGCATCCTCATTTCTGCCTACTTCCTATACTCTGGCTACAAACAGGAAATGACACTTATTGAAACTACAGCTGAAGCAGAGTGTGCTGACATCAAAATCCTACCTTATCGGTCCATAGAGCTGAAAACCATCAAGCCAATTGACACATCCAAAACTGACCCCACTGTCCTCCTGTTTGTAGAGAGTCAGTATTCTCAACTAGGTCAAGATATTATAGCAATCTTGGAGTCCAGCCGCTTTCAGTATCAGATGGTCATTGCTCCAGGCAAGGGAGACATACCACCTCTTACCGATAGTGGCAAAGGGAAGTATACATTGATTATTTATGAAAATATTCTGAAATATGTCAGCATGGACTCATGGAACCGGGAGCTTTTAGAAAAATACTGTATAGAATACAGTGTTAGCATAATTGGTTTTCATAAAGCCAATGAGAACAGCTTACCAACTACACAATTGAAAGGTTTTCCTTTGAACTTATTCAATAATCTAGCTCTGAAGGACTGCTCCGTGAACCCGCAGTCTCCTCTGCTGCATATTACCAAAGGCCCTAAGGTTGAAAAGGGGCCTCTTCCTGGGGAAGACTGGACTATTTTCCAATATAACCATTCTACCTACCAGCCAGTGCTTTTAACGGAGTTACAGACAGAGAAGCCCCTGCCTTTGTTGTCCAGCAAAACTCTCTATGCCACAATAATTCAGGACCTGGGGCTTCATGATGGGATCCAGCGTGTTCTTTTTGGGAACAACTTAAACTTTTGGCTACACAAGCTCATCTTCATAGATGCCATTTCTTTCTTGTCGGGAAAGAGGCTGACATTGTCCTTGGACAGGTACATCCTTGTGGACATCGATGACATATTTGTGGGGAAGGAGGGAACAAGGATGAACGTCAAAGATGTGAAGGTAAGAGCAAAGGTAAAGGACAACATAATTTGTGATTTGTTAGCTTTGTGGTTTTGATTACATATGAACTTTAAAATGCTGTATTAGATAACAAACGATTTAAGCCTGTTCTTTACTACTGGAAACACACACATGAACACAGACATACACAAGTGTACACTATATATATTTATAACATACATATATTTATTGCATATCTTATATATCTTATCTTATATGTATGTAATATGCATCACATATATTATATATAGAGGAGGAGATAGAGAAATAAATATACAACACAATACAATAAAAAAACACTGAAATATCCCAAAGTATGATTGAGCTTGTCCAATGACCTCTTGCTGTGCTTTGGCTCTACCAACCAGAGCCCTTTGAAGTACCTCAAAATTTGAATGTGTGACAGTTTGTCATTATGAAATTAACATAGTTGAAGGACTCTTTATATAGAGTCTTAGATACATGGAATTTGATAAGTCTGGTTGAAAAACAAGATGAAAATAGCTCACTCCTTTCTGTAACCTCATGCAAGTATTGTTTTCACTTGCCTGCCTCATGCAAGCCTCATTTTCATTTGTGTGAAACATTTATACTATTGTAAATACAAGAATTGGTTTTAAAGGGGCTTGCCCTTAGAAAGTTCTCATTTTCATCTCTACTGATTTAAGGTATTGTTTTGGGTGATTGGCAGTGTGATTACCAGTATTTCAGGGCTATGGTCATTTGAAGGCAGAGCAAACTGACCCTGTGATTGTTACTAAATACAGAAAAAGTCAAATACAAAGCTGGGCATGGTGATGCCTTTCTAGTCGTAGCTACTTGGGAGGGTGATGCAAGAGTTAAAGACAACCTGGATAACTTACCCACACATCCAGAACAAAAGTAGCAAAATATAGAATACAAGGTTAACAAAGTTAAGGAATCTGGAGAATAACTGTCTTTTGCAAGTTTCAGTCCAACATTATCATAACTGTTTCATGGTAGCTTGTCTTGTCTTGCATATAACTAAACTGACCCTGCAGAAAGTATTTTAGAAAGCATAAACACAAATTTTATTAGTATTAGTGTTATTGTAAGAGGACTGGATATTGCTATAATGTTGTCTTTCTCAATCTTATGTTATTCATCTGTATGTCTTGCATAGATGATGCCCACATGCTACTTCAAATAACAGCTTTAATCTGAAATGTTATGATCACTAGTAAAGTATTCATACTAGTAAAACTAGTTCACTAAAAAAATTTCAAAGTATATGCAGACCAGCAAACTCTGTTTCTGATGATCTTCTGAGCCAAAAAACATGGGACTTAGAGACAAACAAGTTATTCAGATAAGTTACAATGTGATTAAGTGGGAACAGTTAAAATCCTCTAAATTCATGGGTTTTTTAATGTATTTATTTTTCCTTTTAATTAATTTAAATGTTAATGTTTGTCTTAAATTTAAAAGAGGTCATGTGTTTCAAAATGTTCTACAAGTGATAAATCCCTTATCTGAAACCTTTAAAGAAAATAGGAATTTCATATTTGGACCCAAAGAACAATACAAATAAAAATATCATTACAAGTTTTAACTAAATTGACAAACTCAAATCTAGCTAAGACATTTGTTTCAGGCTCTTCAGTACTCATAAGATATGTAAAATACTGATGTCATCTTAAATATATAATTCCAATCAGAATAACAAAATAATGAAACTAACAAAGAAGTGCAATTTTTATATAGAGTGTCAGGCAGTGGTGGCATGGAACTTCAGTGCCAGCACTTAGAAGAGTCAGGCAGATCTCTGTGAGTTCCAGAACAAACTGGTTATATACCTAAGAGGGGTATAACTGGATCATGCGGTAGATCTGTTTCCAACCTTTTGAGAAATCTCCACATTGATTTTCATAAGGGTTGCACCAGCTTGCACTTATTCGCATATGACACCTTCCTCCACATCGACACCTGAATTTATTATCAGAAATATGTGTCGTTTATTTTTGTGAGTATGAATGTTTGGTGTGCATTTATGTCTATATACTGTTTGTGTACTTGGAGCCCATAGAGGCCAGAGGAGTGCATCCGATCTCCTGGAACTGGAATTACAGACAATTATGGGCTGCCATGTGGGTACCGTGGATTGAACAAGGGTCCCCTAATAGAACAGCCAGTGTTCTCTCTCTTTTTCTTTTCTTTTTTTTTTTTTTTTTTTGAGACAGGGTTTCCAGTCAGTGCTCTTGACTGTTGAACCATCTCTCCAGGCCCAAGGCAGACATACTTACATATCTTCAATAAAATGTACCCATTTATTCATTGACTGCCTACTGCATGTAAAACTAAATGACATGGTCTGTTTAATAAAACTAAATGTACTATAAGGCCCTTTGTGATCCACCCAAAATTTATATATTCTACAGCTAACCTTGCTACTTTGCATTATATGTTGTTTATGTTTGGTGAGTCCACCTTCCTGAACTCAATTAGATTTTCTGTATTTCTGCTTCAACCTAATTTTTCAGTTTCAATATATTGACTAAAATTGTTAACATCATTTTGAAATACATTTAAGGCATAATAAAGTAGAATAATGGTTACTAGGAGCTAGAAATGACAGAGAATGGGACACAGAGGTCCATTGTACAACAGGTGCTAGCACACAGTTAGAAAGAAAAGTTACTAATACTCTTCAGCACTGTAGCAGGATGCCTATAGTTCATACTAATCGATTTTAAGATTTGTTTTGAATGAGCAAACAGCAGCTCAAATTCCCCAGACATAAATGATTGGAAAATGTTAATTGCTCTGATTTAATTATTGTACAGTGTATGTATACTTTGAAACATCACACATGAATACATAAAATTATCATGTGTTAATTAAAAAGAAAAAATTAAAAGATATCTCAAGTCCTATTTCTTTTGCAAATGTGACACATTTTCTAATGACCTCAGCAGATGGTATCTTTTCTTTAACCTGAGCTGTTAATAATCACCAATCTCTTTCTAACATCTTTGCGAACATGAGTCAACTTCAAAACTAGGGAATGCAACAATTTTTCTCATACATTTAATTGTGTCCTACAATACATAAGAAGCAACTTTAGATGTGGCTTTTACAGTGTTTAGTTGAGAATTATCATACAACATTTAACTATTAGTGAGTAAGTTTCTAATAAATCATAAAATAGTTGATTTACTCCCAGAGAAAGGTTAAGGATAGCTTCCAGAGTTTGGATTTGTGTTGGGGCCAGATGTGTACACCCAGAGAAAGAACAAAGAAGGACACACATGGTAGGGTATAGGGCAGGCAGAATATAAATTCTAGTATCCTGGGAAGTGGAGGAACAACTAAAAACCCCCTTGAAACTCAGATCTAATGACCTCATCTAGGTTGCCCCAGGGAATAACAGCACTTAGGATCTCACAAGATGAGTAGGTATGCAGCAGTGGAAGTGGGGGGTGTTACTACAGCACCATCAGATGATGCAGGTAGTGATTTCTTTTTACATGCACACTGGATCAATCAAGCACTAAAGTTTGATTAACTAATGATAAAGGCTATACATCGCGAATTCTGGCAAATTTAGCAGACCTCATGTGTGTGAGTGCAGCGTACACATGCCAGAGCCTGTTTGTGAAGGTCAGAGGACACTGCTAGATGTCAGTCTCCTTGACTTCCAACCTGTTTGAGACAGGTTCTTGTTTTATTGTTTGATGTGACATACAGCAGCAATTTCTAGTTTGCTTGAAGGATATCAGTCACCAGACAGGATATGCTTCATCATAACTTTCTTTTATTTACTTATTTAATCTTACTTAATCAAAATGGGCTTTGTCCTTTTGATTTTGGGGGAAATAGCATGTTTTATTTAGCTTAGTGAACTGAAAAAGCTGAATTTACTCCATAAAAAGACATTTATGTAAGCAAAGGAGACTTTTTCCATTTAAAAATAAAATTTCAAAATCAGATACAGGTAAACATGCTAACAATTAAAAACATAAGGAGCTAACCATCAAGAATACATTCATCAAACTATCCAGCAGAAAATATATTATACATGCTAAGTGAATCATTTAGTTTAATATGGGTTATTTACTGCTCATTTATGCACTTTGTTTATTCTCTTAAATAAAACAGAAAAAATGTTGGAGCACAGCATGAATGTCCTTGTGCCCACTGATCTCCAAAGAAACCAGGAATGTTTAACACTTGAGATTATTCTGTTAAAGGGAAGAACATATAATCTTTTCGTACAAAAGGCTGAAACTGGAAGTAATTAACAGTCTGGTGATTTGTGTTATCTGTTAGGCTAGGCCATATGAAGCTTCCACAACCAGAACAGAAATACCTAATAATCTAAGTGACCCTTATATTATCTATATAACTAGGGGATTCCTCCAAGCTCCCACAGCCAGGACCAGAGGTGGTTATTAGATCAAATGACCTCTATGTTATCTATAAGATGAAAACCAGGTCAGAGACTTCCTTAGTCCCATAAACTAGTAGATAACCTATCTCTAGAACCCACCTTCTTGAAATGTACCCTGAGTCAATATCAGTCTAATTAAGTTTCTTGTGCAGTTGAGATTGTATTGTACTAGGAAACTTCCTTTTAAAATTAGACTGTAGTTAAATTTGTTGAGAATAAACAACTTGATATCAGATTCCTCAAAGTCTTAATTAGGTGGATGAAGACATGAGACCTTTTCACGAGGTTCTCTTCTCTGCCTGACACCTGCAGAGAATTCAAAACATGCAAAGAACAGTTGTTGATTTTGCTAGCATAAGGAAAGTATGCATACAATGTTCTGTAGGAAAAGAAAGAATTATGTATCATATGGCCAAGTTACAAATGAAGAAAGGAACTAAAGCAAAGATGGCAGCATTTTTCATTCTAAGCAATAGGGACACCTTAATGGAAGAAGTGATTCTGAGGCCTTAGTGAGGTTCTTGAAGTACACTAACATTCCCAGGTGAAGACTGCTTAACACCAGTGAGTCACCACAAACTAAGTATTG